ACCTCTAGATATATCCATAGCATTTCAACTATCATTCCCTTTTAAAATGCTTCATTAGCTAGAATCTGGTTCCCCCCCCCCCCCATGTTTCTTACAACAACAAAAGCTCAATTCTCTCCAGAATAGTCTCTAAAGAACAAATACAACTCCTACACAACCTTAAGACTAAATTCTATTTAAAGCTTTTTGGCACCTGATTATGAGGTAAAGTAAAACTACTGGCTCCTGTATTTTGATTTCCTTCCCTTTTTAGGCAGTTCTGTTCTTCTCTGGCTGCTTTTTAAAAATAAATTAAGAGGCCTGATAGAATAGCTCTGATTTGTAGCTAAGTAGCTCTTTCGTTGGCAACAGGACCATGGAGAGTACCAGGGAGACTGATCTGCAAAGATTAACTCACCGGGTCTGTTTTGCAAGCAACTCTTAAGAGTTGTTGTTAACACTCTAGAGACAAGGGAAGTATTTTCTTCTGATGATAGATTGGGGTGACCAACTCAAATAGCCACTTCATGCCTTAGGATATATAGCAAATGTATAGCCTTCATTTCCAGCAGTTGGCCATTCTCATATATATCACATCCAGGATTTATTTCCCTTGCATGGCTTGGATTTTGCTAAAAAATACTGAGTTTTCATGAACTTTTGGTATCAATAGCAATGGAGTTGGTAGTATAATAAGGAGAAAGAGCTTGATTCTAACATCAGCACACTGCAGATTCAGGAGCCAGGGTTCTTATGCACAGTTCTTACACTACTAATGCTAATGCTAACTCAATGGGGGAGGAAAATATTCCCCATCCAAGTTCACCCAAAAAAACCTCCCATTCCAGAATAAAGAATAATTGCAACCCTGTTGACATGTAAAACAGAATTCTCACTATGCTGAATCCTCTCCACACCAACTGTGACCTGCAGAAGGTGGTGTGGCTCTGAGGCACCAAAAGATTTTTATCCCAACACAGCTTACTACTTTGCTTTTATCATTTAGGTCACAGCATCAAAGGAGAAGATTATGTATGAGCAGATCATTTCAACATGCCAGTACAAAATATTCTTGCTTTGAGACACCTGGGAAGAATGCAGCACAGAGGGGAATGTTCAAAAAAGGGACATTATATAAGTTATTATTATAGGAATAATTCATACGGACCTTATTTACAGTAATGTCTATGCAAGCCATCCTCAATTTACCAACACTTTATATCTATTGCTTAGCAGGTGGTTATTAAGTGAGATTTTTTTTGCCATAATCATTACATGAATTATCAGAGTTGTTAACTAAATGTCACTAAGGGAATCTGACTTCCACTATTGAGTTTGCTTGTTAAAAGTCACCTGGAAAGGTTCCAAATAGAGATATAGGATCCTGGGATCCTATAACTATCATAAATATATCCTGGTGGCCAAGTGCCCAAATTTTAATCATTTGACTGTGGGGACATGGCAGTATGAGGACTGGTCATAAGTCACTTTATGGGTGAGATGGGCAGCATATAGATTTAATAAAGAAATATTTTCACAAATGAAAGCAAATAAATAGTTTTTTCAGTACCATCGTCACTTTGAAGAGTAACTAAATGAATAATAAGATGAGTATATTAAAGGTTCCCTCGCATATATGTGCTAGTCGTTCCTAACTCTAGGGGGCAGTGCTCATCTCCGTTTCAAAGCCGAAGAGCCAGCACTGTCCAAAGAGATCTCCATGATCATGCGGCCGGCATGACTAAATGCCGAAGGCGCATGGAACACTGTTACCTTCCCACCAAAGGTGTTTCCTATATTTTCTACTTGCATTTTTACATGCTTTTCAACTACTAGGTTGGCAGAAGCTGGGACAAGTAATGGGAGCTCACTCCGTTACGTGGCTCAAGAGATTCAAACTGATGACCTGCTGACTTTTCTGATGGACAAGCTCAGTGTCTTAACCACTGACCCACCACGTTCCCATTTGAGTATATTAGAGGTGGTTAAAAGACCACTGAACTGACATTGGGAGACTGACAATAATTTTGTCCTTTTTAGCAATAGCAATGCAAGTTCTTGCTGAAATGAAGGTCAGAGTTACCAGAAATGGACTTGTTTTAAAAAGCAACAAGAACAACCTCTGAATTATGGCACAAAATGTAAATTCCTCAGCTCTAAAATGTCCAGTAATAACAATATGTCTTTTCTATCTTGCCCTGCTCACTGAGTTTTTGCATTCTAGCAAGAATAACCTCAACAACCCAAATTACATCTGATGCTCGTATTCTTCCCAGCAATTTGAATAGTATCTTTCCTCCAGCTTTATCAAAATTACAATAGCACCAAAAAGACCCATAAAAAACAAAAAGAAAACCCTACTTCACCAGAAGCATAAAGTGAGATTCAAGCTCAAAAAAAATTGTATCACAGTATTTCCATTAGTCTATGAAGTGCAAGCTGCTTCTTTTTTTCCTTTCTTTCCTTTTTTCGAGCTTGAACAGACTATTTTGTTATTAATATTGCTTTTCCAAATATTCATGCTTTAAAGGTAAAGGTTCTCCTCGCACATATGTGCTAGTTGTTCCTGACTCTAGGGGCCGGTGCTCATCTCTGTTTTAAAGCCGAAGAGCCAGCGCTATCTGAAGATGTCTCCGTGGTCATGTGGCTGGCATGACTAAATGCCGAAGGTGCGTGAAACGCTGTTACCTTCCCATCAAAGGTGGTTCCTATTTTTCTACTTGCATTTTTACATGCTTTTAAACTGCTAGGTTGGCAGAAGTTGGGACAGGTAATGGGAGCTCATTCCATTACGCAGCACTAGGGATTCGAACCACTGAACTGCTGACCTTTCTGATCAACAAGCTCAGTGTCTTAGCCACTATGTCCCATATGACATTCTTTAGGAATGTCTTAAACTGAGAAATTACATCCTAGGAATTCTGCAAGTCCACAAACATAACAAATTACTGTAAACGGAGTGGTTATTTTCAATTAACATCTTAAATCACTGATATGTGCAAATTGTTTATAGACAAGAGAGCCAGAAAAATATTTTATTGTCGTCAATGACCAGCATTATTTTTAAAGACAACTCAAGCTTCAGAATTATACAATCCAACAGGTGCAGAGACACAAAACTTTCAGAAAAATTGAATTGTGACACCTAAATATTTCAATTACTTTATTCCTACATAATGGTACACATCTTTTTCCATTGTTTTTTGTTGCTTTCATAATTGCATATTATAATACAATGCAATTTGTGTAGTGCAACTTTAATTGTAAACTGCTTGGACGTGTGCCTTTATGGGAAATGGTATAAAATATACCATGCCTTAAAAAAAAATAAAACTAGAGAAATCTTGGAGATTTGGAAATCATATAATCAACATGCTAATATCACACAATCACATTTTGCTGCATGCAAAATTCTAAGTAAAAGATACTTGAAATTTCCAGAAATTTTGCCTAAGGAGTAAGACACAATCAGTGCCTTAATTTGATATATTTGCTTTTAATAACTGATTAGAGTTTAAAGTAAACAGTAAATTTAGAAATAAGAGCAATGCTTCTTGAGTTAATCATGATGTCAATCTAATGCTATCTCTGAAGACAGTCATAACTACTAAATCTATGAACATTTTCATTACTTCTAGCAGCATTAAGTAATTTCTCCCCTTCTGGTTCAGTCTTAAACTCTTCCCGAGCCCCTCAATCTTTGTTTCTCAATGTTCAAGTTATTAAACCTCAAGGCTGCAAAGTTCCTATTGAAAAAAAATAACCAATGCTTATAAGGAACTAGCTGAAAATCCGGCATTGCCCGGGTGTTTATTTGGATTGGATTTCCCCCCTTATCAGAGGGCACCCCCTTGTAGAGTACTATGAAGCAGTTACCATGGCAACTCCACTGCGCTGTACAGTAGAAGGCATTTTATGGCAGTACAGTAGAAACCATTTTAAGGCACAACAGGCTGTATCTTAACAGAACACATAATGTGTTAGGGGTTAGGGTTAGGTTTACCCCCACAGTAGATAATGAAACATAGCCAAGCTCACATAGCAGTTAAAATCCCCATTCAGTCATGACATTCATTGGATGACTGCAACTCTCAAGAAAGAATTGTTTTGAGAATAAAATCAGCAAGTACAGGTAGTCCTCGCCTTATGACCACAATTGGAAACAGAATTTCCATTGCTAAGCAAGGCAATTGTTAAGTGAGTCTTACAACCTTTGTTTTGCCATAGTAGTTTAGCGAATCACTGCTGCTGATTTGTGAAACACATGGTTATTAAGTGAATCCGACACCCCCACTGACTTTGCTTGTTGGAAGATGGATGGGAAGATCACAAATGGTGATCACATGACTCTGGGATGTGGCAACCTTCGTAAACATACGGTGGGTGCCAGTGTGGGTATTCAGTGGCGACCTGCAGGTGGGCCCATGAGCCCACCCCATTCCAGTTTTATGCCGTCCTATTTAGCCACATTTTCTAAGCCACATGCATGTGTGCAAGCCACACGCATGAGCGTGGAAGGCCGCATGCATGTGCAGAAAGTGCACATGTGAGCAAAGCGTGTGTGTGTGCGTGCGCATGCTCATATTTTTGGTGTACGGCAAACCAGTGGTAAAATTATGTGAAACCTCTGGTGGTAGCCAAGCACCCAAATTTTCATTATGTGATTGTGCCAATGCTGTGATAGTTATAAGTATGAGGATCAGTCATGAGTCACTTTCTCAGTGCCGTTGTAAATTTTAATGGTCACTAAATGAATCTTTGCAATTGAAGACGATCTGTACTGTATGTTGCCTTACACGCTTCACAGAAATGTTGGATGAAAATATAATGAGTACATAAATGAACAAGTAATGAATAAACTAGGGTTGATTATGTAATTTGCTCAACAGCAAACAATTATATAATCCAGCTTTTCTTGAGCAAACTGATTTCCTTGATGGAATATTTTAGAGCAGTCTCAAACCCATCTCAGCTGGAACTTGTCTTAATCAAGGGCTTTCTATTAAACAAAGGAAAGTTACCTGAGGAAGTGCTTCATGATGGCGATTTTATTTTTCAGTTATAGCAATGATCTTCAGTTAGGGCTCAGGCAAGCAGCTTCTCCAGAAGTAATTGATGCTGTGAAGAGAAAGTGAACATATTTGATCAGCGAAAAATAAACAGTGTTCAAGCACAGCTGAATCTTCTTTTCAAACATCATCCTACTACTGAAGATCAAAATGTTTTTACAGAAAATATTTACCTAGAAATTGAGGTACACTACATTAAATGAAGTTCAGTGTCAGATACACGAAGAACCTAACAATTTTGGGCGGCCTTTGAGTCAACTTTGACTCCTGGCAAATAACTGCCCACATAAGTCCCTGAAGTTTTTTTCGGCAAGATTTTTTGGAAGTGGTTTGCCACTGCCTTCTTCCTAGAGCTGAGAGAGAGTAACTTGTCCAAGGATACTCAGGTGGCTTTATGCCTAAGGCGGGACTAAATCAGAAGTGGTATTCATCCAGTTATGACTGGTTCTGGAGAACCAGTAGTGGAAAGTCTGAGTAGTTTGGAGAACCGGCAAATAGGCTGGCCCCGCCCCTGCTGCCTCCCCGCCAATCTTCTTTTGTTGCCCTGAACAGGAGAACGGAGCTGGAAAGCAGGTTAGTGGGGTGGGGAGGGAATGGGGATTTTGCAGTTATCTTCCCCCAGGAGTGGAGAGGTAATGGGGATTTTGCAGTATCCTTCCTCTGCCACACCCACAAAGCCATACCACACCCACAAAGCCACACCTACAATACAATACAATAGCAGAGTTGGAAGGGATCTTGGAGGTCTTCCTGTCCAACCCTCTGCCTAGGCAGGAAACCCTATACCGTTTCAGACAAATGGCTATCCAACATCAGAGCCATTAGTAAACCATTTTGAATCCTACCACTGGTCTAACTCCGAGAGTCTCAGCCAATCT